CTGGCTTCTCACTCCGTCCCGGAGCTGTGCGGAACAGGTCGCTTTGTGTGTTTATGGTGTTTTTTCTGTGTATTTGGAGCATGCGGCGTGATGGAGATGCCTCTCCTGACCCTTTCGCTCGGACAGTCACGTTTCCTCAGCCTTCATGGCGCAGGTGCCCGTTGCTCCCCTCCACGGTTTCCTCAGGCGTTGCTTTTCTGCAGTTGGGGTTCTTTCCCCTCAGTTCAGAGGAATGGCAAAGTTCTGTCACAGGCATCTAAGAGGCTGATGGGGACTCTCAAAGTGCAGAGCTTTGGTCTCTGCTAGAGCTTGTGGGGGTAAATTGCAGAGACCTGGGTCACTGGAGGCAGAGGAAATAGACTTACCTTGACCGTGATTTGCTTACTGCTTTGCAATTGAACAGTTACACGTTAACTGTTTGTTTTGCTCAGTTCTTCTAGTCTGTGTGTCTCCCACTTGCTGCTTAAGCATGATTCTTTCTAGAAGGTGTCTCAACTTTCTTCTTTCTTGTTCCCCACCCATATATAATGTGTTTTGGTCTGCTGTTTGTCACTGTTTTGTTTTGCTGACAATGTGTTTGTGTTGTTTCTTCTCCTAAAGTTATGGTAGACTTGCTTATCATATGGAGTTGGATTACATTAAGATAGATGGAAAGTAAGATTCCTTAGTTTGTTGAATGCATTAATCATACCAGGAAGACAACACTTAGTTCATTACTGTCTAAGGTTTTAAACTGCAAAGTGATATTCCTGTGCTTGTTAAACATTTTCTTGTATTAATCAATGATATTGTACCTGGTGATCATGATTTTTTTTCTAGATGAATGGAATTTTAAGTATTAAGCAATTAAGATAGTTTTGGTAAACAGCTGAAAAAATATCTGTTAACACTTAAATGTGTGTGTTATGCTACCCTCTACTGATAGGATGTGAAAACTCCCAAGGTGTGTAGTGCCCTCTTGAAACTAATCAACAGGTTCTGTTTGCCAGTCATCTTTTAAATGCTTTGCACAGTTTAGCTGCCCACAGGCTGTTCATGCCTCGATGAAATTCACAACAGCTCCTTTAGAACTCCTCTGTTTCTTGTAGTTTGGAGTGGCTGCCCGGTGCTGCCTGCTCTAGTCAGCAGGGGGCAAGATGTAGCTTGTTTTTTCTGAGTTTGAGGTGTGTGAACTGAAAACCAGAGGATTTTTGCTGTCAGCAGCCTTGCATTGACTCGATTGTGTTTTGAAAGCCGTTTGGAATATTGTCTCTTTAACATTTCAGCACGTTTATAAGCTCCTAACGCTTTGTTCACACTCAGTCCTTTGAAAAACTAGACATTTTGATTGCTAAACGTGTTTTTGGTAAAAGTTAAGCAAGTATTGACCAATCTTGGAAAAAAAAAATAATAATTGCATGGGTAATGAACTCCACATAAGATGAAAGCAGTGACTGTCTTTGTGTGACAAAGTGGGGACACTTAATGTGGCATCTCATGCTATACCAACGCCATTTCTGATGGATGGTTTGCCTTAGTAAGCCTGAGGCTCCTCGGTGAATAAAAAAGCCCCTTCAAGGTAAATTCTAGAGGAACAGCCTTATTTGTGAGTAGTCAAATGTGTCAGTTCTCTCTATCAACATAGGTAGGTTCACAAATTCACAGATCATCTGGGCAGGAACATAACCTCTTGTGTTCAGCATCAAAGACTGAGGTCTTGTCTTTCAGGTGCCTGGCATCTGGCAACCTTTTTCCTCTGTCCTGCATCCACACAAGCACATCTCTGCAGAAAATTGGGAAGTGGGAAAAAAAGAACAGGATTGTTTACCCTCCACAGCTGCCTGGAGAGCCCCGCAGACCAGCTGTAAGGATGCACCTGTGAACTTCCTTATCCGTTTGTGTTCAGCAGAGTCTGAACAGATTGTCAAGAGAGACTAGTTTGATAGCTTATTAATTTCTTAAGATTTTAGTCATGTTGGTATATTTACAGGATAAAAGTTAACATCACTTGTGAGTGTTTTCCATTTCTAAATGACATGGGAGCTCCAAGCTGCTTGCAGCTGGTCACCTACCTAATGTGTGCTGCAAACTGCAAAGGGACCAGCTTCTTGAGTCTGACCTGCAAGGAGGTAGAAGTCATAGTGGCTGCTTGAAATTTTTGCTGTAAACTGAGGGGTTCTGAAGTGGTGTGGGGAGGGACATGTAAGAAAGACATGGGATATGATTGTAGAAATGTGTTTTTCTTAGGAAACCATTTTTATATACTGGGCAGTGGGGTTGTTTCTTCAGTCTGTTGCATAATAATTTGTCTTTACTGAATCTTAAAGAAAAGAATATAAAATAGTTTTGTAACCTGCATGGTCAGTGTATGGCCTTCTGGCTGTTCAATACAACTTTTGAAAAAGTCGGCCTAATAATGTGGCCATTATTTTAAATGCAGTCACAACAGATGAGGTTTTGGTAACAGCAGGCTTGTGCCTGTTTTGCCCTGTCCCCTTTTATTGACCATTTTATGATTGGGAAGTACCTTTAAACCTTAACAGACGCAAGCCTCTTAACTTGCACATGGAAACTAAGTGGTTTGTATTTGATCACTGAAGGGACTGATCAAAGCTGCTTTCTCCCTCTAAAGAATTAGGTGAATTTTGGAATTCTGTTTTTAATAACTTTTTCATTGGCAATTAATGCATTGTGGTCTCTGTTAGGCATATTGCTCAGCAAAGTGAAGCACTGGCATCTCAACAGGGTAGGGTTTTTTTGGGTATGTGCCCACAAGACCCTAAGCATTTATCAGTTCCCTTAACATCTGGGACATAGAAATACATCCTGTGTCCTGGGCTGACTAATGCAGTGGATGTGAAAATGTTATCCACTGACTCACTTATTAGATCTGTGTTTTACCTGTTCATAAAGAATGCCATCTCTCTCAAATTGGTATTGATGTTGAATTTTACTAGCTGGTTTTGGTCCCTATTGATACAGTAATAATGTTAAATGGGTCTTTGAAGACAACTCTTCAAGCCAATTGAACTTGAAACCCTTCACTTCTGAGTAGATAATTAAGTTCATTCTGGTAATATCGTTGTTTAGTTCCTATACCAGTAAGTTGACTTGACAGGAGAGTAATGTTCAAGGCTGAATAGGTTGTCAGTCTTACACTGCTTCAGAGGGTGAGGAGGAGGAAAGGAAAAGATAATGAAAAACCTCTGATTATCCTTTTCAAGGGGGGTCTGTGTATAAGCTAGCTCTCCTAGGATTATATTACAATATCTGTGTGCTGGCTACTCTTCTTAATTATTTCAGTTTCAAATGTCTGAGGTGTGTCTGATTTGGCATGTTCATAGTATAGTAGGGGGAGTCATCTTATGCCCAGTAAGAAAACAGATTGTGAAGCAAACATATGCTCCATTCTTGTTTCCACACCAAAATTACTGGTCCTCTAACTTTTTTTTGTTTGCACCTAGGAAATCTATCACTGTCGGAGGGATATCAAATACAGCAAAGATAAGATGTGGTATCTGGCAAAACTGGTAAGCAAGAAGTACTTTGAACTGTATTTGTTAGAACACAGAATTTAATTGCTGTATTTGCCTTAACAGCCTTGTTCAATCACAATCTAATCAGCATCTTCATAATAGAGTGCTGGGGAAGAGCAGGCATCTGTGCAGGCAGTTTGTAGTTTGATTTAGCTGCTTTATCCCAGGATGCTCTCAAATGTGTACCCAGGATCATATGCAGATTATGCACTGGAGAGTTTTTGTGTTGTTTTCTGCTTAGCAGTAGATAACAAGGGGAGCTTGGAAAGGTAGAAATGGATTGTACTTCTCTTTAAGGAAAAAAAGTAATGGGATATTCATTATTTAGCTCAGAGGTCTGTATGTGACATAGAAGAAATGGTAATTGAGGAAACAAGTCTTTTGGTTTGCTCTTTAAATTGGCAAAAAAATAAAATACCGTCTTGTGACTAAGAGGGAATATTTGTAATTGTGGAAATTAAAATTAACATTTTGATTTGCAGATTAAAGGAATGTCCATTGATCAGGCTTTGGCTCAGTTGGAATTTAATGATAAAAAGGGAGCAAAGGTGATCAAAGAGGTATGTAGTAGTGTTCTTTAACACTTCTGGTTTCAAGAAAACTTTAAAATCAATACCTATCACCAGAGGTTTGGAAATTATTCTATTTCTGTGTTATTGTGTTGGTATTAAGCCTGTTAGGATCACATTCAAACAACATTTTTGTAGCACTCCTGTAGTGTTGTGACTTAGGAGTATGCAGAGGTCACTTGCACTGACTGTTTTAACTTGTAGCGATGAGGGTTCCCACTTTAATGATGCTTGGTGTTCATGGTAAATAATGCAGAATCCTGCTGCTATACCTGTGTGCTTTGGTTCTTAATATTGTAAGAAATGAAGGGTGTCATCAGGGGAAGCACTGAGTTCTGTAAAGCCATGAAAGCTTTTCATAGACTGTACTTGTTAGGAGTCTCTAATTACTTATTTTCTTGGCTGGAGCATTGATTTCTGGAATAATAAGGACAAGGAAGTATCCTCTGTTAGCTGGAAATATTGAATGGTCTTGACCACCTTGGAGTTTCTTTCTAGTCTGATGTCTAATTAGACAAAGGTCCATAATGGAAAGCCAACAAGTCTTTTTACATTCCCTTTCTTCCCAAAAAGATGTAATAAAGTTGTCCTGAAGCTTTTCAGTCTGTATGCAGTGAACATACTTATGTAAAAGGCATTTGTCTTTTCTGTAGAGATCAAAATTGTTAATACTTTTCCTGTAACTGACTTAAACTTGCAATTCCTTCTATGTCATCTAGATGTGAGAAATAACATTGCTTAAATTCCTGCTCAGTGTTTCCATTTCTTTTCCTTTTGCTCCAGGTTCTTTTAGAAGCTCAGGAACTGGCAGTAAGAAATCACAACGTGGAATTCAAATCAAATTTACACATAGGTACGTTTTTTTTTTTTTCTTCTTACTTTACTGCAGAAAAAACTCATCCTACCCTAGAGGGTAGTTTTTAATAAACTTATCTTTACCAAAGCAGGAAGGCCATGTGTTTCTGACTTGCAGCACAACTGAGGTCAGTGTGGTTGTTGAGCCTTCAACCATCAGTTTCACTGTTGCTGGTCCCTGACTGATGCTCCTCTGGCATCTCCTAGATTCATTGTTTTTAAGATGCATTCATCTGAGAGAGGAATTTCTGCTCCTTGTGGGCAAACCAGGCCCTGAAGAGGAAGATGCTTGACGTGATTATGAAAGACTAGACAACACAAAGCAAACTGTTGCTTCTTTTTTTAATCCTGCCAGTGAACACAGATGCTGGAAACTTTGTCCGTGGCTAGTGCTACAAGCCTTGCCAGATTGGAATAGAAGCTTCTGTTAGAAGCAGTCTAAAACTAAATGAATATTGACAGGAGACTTCATAATAAAAAAGTTTTGTTATAGATGATTACATAATAAGCTTGTAATAACTACAGCACTTTATTACCTAGACAAATTTTAGAGAAATGTTTACTCTGTAGGTGTGTTTAGGCCTAAAGAAAAAAAAAAATCCTGTTTTGCCAGATACAGCCTGAATGTTACTGAGCTGAGCTCATAAACTTAAAATAACCTGGATTGTAACACAGATTTGCTTAGAATTTTTTGGAGCTTTCCAGGCCCCTGCTGTAAGACGTTTTATCTTCTAGGGCAGGACTGGATATGTAGATAATGAAAGTGCCTGTGGTGAATGCAATAAAGGGAGAAAGGAGGGAAAATCAAGTCTTTAACACTTCTCCAGGAATTCATGAGACAAACTCCTGGAAAGCAATGGAATTAGTACCACCTTTAGAAGAGCTATATAATCTACTAAGTGCTCTGTGTAGCTTCCTTTGTATTTGTCCTTTACTACATATTTCTCTTAGTGTGCATGCTTTCTGAACTCACCTTTTTGGGGCTCCTGAAGAGTGTTAATCCCACTCACAGGTTCCTCTATAGTATTAATCTGCTAAATGTGGTGGAGGAAAGAATACCAAATAGAATTAACTTCTCATATGCAGTAATGAAAAATATACTGACAAGACAATGTTTCAGTTGCAGATGTGTAGTGTTTATTCTTTACTGAGTGTTCTTCTCTCCCCCTGCCCACCTTTTCCCTTCAGCTGCATCAGTGGCGGGCAAAGGCCAGTATGTGAAGAGGATTCGTTACCACGGCAAAGGCATGTTTGGCATCATGAATATCTCCAGGTGTCACTACTTTGTGAAGCTGGTGGAAGGTCCTCCTCCTCCTCCAGAGCCACCAAGGACTGGTTTTGATCAAGCAAAAGAATACGTGCAGCAGCTGCGAAGCAGAACCCTTGTTAATACACTGTGACAGACTTTTATGACTGTATAGGTATTTCTTGTTTGACAATGTAATGATATAAAAAGAATAATTCAGATAATGTTTTAGTTATATCTTTGGTGCTGCTGGAGTTGGGTGATGTGAGTGATCATAAGCTTTTTCCATATTTGTCAAGCCATATGTATGGAAAAAGCTTGGGAAAGCAGCAACAAATGTTAGTTTTTCTGAATTAGTTGGACCATGGCATTCAACCTCTACCCTGGACTATCAAATCTAGAACATACAGTGCCACTATAAAGCTTGTAAAGAACTGTTTTGTCCTCAAATTCATGCACCTGTCTCTTTGTTATGTATGCTTGGGTCTTTTATTATAAAAATGTTCCTGACATTCACATTGCAAGATCAAGACTTGGACTAAAATTCCCGAACTTGAACATCTTAAGTAGCTACAGTAGTGGAACAAATCAAGCAACAACAATAGTTGAGATTAACAACCATCAATTTATGGGTTATTTTATCTGGGCCATTATGCTCCTTCCTTACAGCCTCTTGTGCATCTTATGGGTTGTATTTGGGAGAGGGGAATAAAAAACTCATTTGAAGTTCAGGTTTTGACAGAGTCAGTAGGTGGCAGTGTTTAGTTTGTCAGAGCGGGAAGTGGCAGTGCAAACTTACACCACGTTTAAACTGTGTTCTAGATTCTGACCATAGCGTTAACAGTCGGATATTTGCATGGAGTTCAGGGTGTTCTCTGTGGAAATTCAGTGTGAGTAACAGGCACAATATGGAGAAAAGCTTCTCTTGGTGAACTAATTATTCTGCACTGTCTGGAAACAAATTGCTTTTGTAATGTTGAGGCAAGTAAAATGCTCACTGGATTTAATATGGAATGGCTTTTTGCATGTACAAATCAGGCTTTCAGTTCTCTGAAAACAATCCCATTTTTATCATTACTTTGAAGAGAAAAAGATTGAGGTCAAGAGGGGGAAATCTTATTTTACCCAGTCAGGCTTTCAACTCAGACGGCCAGAGATCATGAATATCAGCATAGAAAAAGAGTGAATAGTTGCTTGTGTATGTGAATATCAGATATTTAGACTTTTTCTGTTTTGGAACATTAGAATGGGTGATAAATTGCTTACCTAATTGGGTCTTTCTACCACACCAGCTAGTGGTAGCCTTTCTTACATGGCTTTACTTTCATCAGTACTTGAATGACGACAAAGACACAGCTCGTCCAAGGACACAAGTTACCTTTGTTGTCTTAATGTAAGTGGCATACAGCTGTTTCATTTGGCTACCAAAGAAAGGGGTCTTACTCTTTAAGAGTAAAGTTACACAAGAAGTACCTACATAGCTCAGGATCAGTAATGGGGGCTTATTTGCTGTCTCTTTCTGCAGTGCACTTACAGATGCATTACTTGCTTTAAAGCCCAGTTTTAGTAACTTCTGTCTGAAAGGTGTGTTCCTGATGAAACTCAGTCTCTGTAGTCCCTGACATGTGTTTGAAGAACTGTTTCTGCTGTGCTGTGATAAGCCCCTGTGCTTTGCTCTGCCAGCTGCTGTTACCCTCTTGTCATACTGAATCTCTTACAAGTTGTAGCAAACTTGAATGACTTAATCTTTTGGGGGGTCAGTGATCTCGGAGAAGACTAAGGAATTGCAAAATAATTCAAGCTTAATAAGCTCTTGTCAAGGTGAATAAGCTCCAGTCAAGGTTGTATCCTTACAGATATTGTTGCTCTATTTATGAATCTGCAAACTAGGAGAGAAGTGAGAATGTGACTGATGTGTTTTCCAGCTTCTTTATGAGATGGGCTTGACACTCCTTTAAACAAACAGACCTGGGCTTTCCAATTTTTTCAGTCAAAAAGTAAGGTTTTTCCTTGTCATTATTGTTTTCTTACTCAAAACTAAATGGAAAGACTCTCTTTTTGACATGCTTTTCTGTGTCACTCTTATCCCCTGATACTCTTTCTACCTTCTTAAAGTTGCATAACCCATAGCGGTTCCTTTCAGCTTGGATGTGGTGAGAGCAGGGGCTTGAACTGTCTTGATCCCTGCCTTTCACTGCTGGGACATTGAGAGTGGCTGAAGCAGTTTCTGTGTATCAGAGCACTGGTGTGGGAACCTGGCTAAACATTTTTAAAATTCATTAAGATCTGGTGATCAAGCTTTAGAACTGTCAAGTTCTATTTATAAATAAAATCTGAGTCTACTGCACTTTCTTGGTAACTAGTACATCTACACTTTGGTTAGACATTTGATACTGATTCAGACAGAATATTCCATGCTAACTGCAAGAAGTCTTTAGCAGAAGATCATTTTTTATTGTGACCTCCAATAAAAGAACGTTCTTAAATGAGCCATCACCAAAAGGGAGGAGGAGAGGCACTTAGGCCTCTACTTTATGCTAATTTTATTAGTAATGTCTGGGGGCTCTGTAAACTCACTACTTGTGTGTGCATGTGCTGATGTTACAGAAATTGGAGAAGGAGCAAGTATGCGTGAAGGTGTAGTAAGGCTACAGGGAAATCTGAGGAGAGCAGAACTATCAGCTGTGCTCAGCAATGTGAGATTTAATTGAGGAAAACTTAAAAAAAACCTGCTGTTGGGCTTGTTCATAAACATTTTTAAAAATTCAATGAGAAAGTCAAAGTACTTTAGCCTGACGTCTTTTTTGGATGTGCGTGTTTCTTAAAACTTGCAGTCAGTTATTAAGGAAGTTCTTCATCAAAGTTAGAGTTAGGAGAGAGCTATCAGTGTGGTTATAAAGGGATCATCAGCCTTTTTTAAAAGGTGGAAGATACAGGAAGTGAGCGTGGGCTGTGACTGAACAGTTAGAGAGTCCTGATTCTGGTCATATCTATACTGGAAAATGCTGTGGTGAGGTGAACAGCATCGGGACTCAGGTGGTATCTGCACACAATTCTGCCCAGTGCTTCAGCTGTGCTGCTGTGCCGGGCATGAACTTGTCTAGACCAAGGTCATGCAACATAAATCCTCAGACTACTCCCTTCTTCACAAAGGGGAGGTGTACACCAGGACTGTCATCTCTACATTGCAGAGTTGCTGGGGAGATCCTCCAGCCACTGAAGTGAAGGAACAAGAGGAATCACTGCTTTCTGCCAGTCCCCATGAAAATCTGATGGTGGGATGTTGGAAAGTAATTTGCAAACTGAATTCTCCTTTCAGCAGAAATAAGGTTACTCGTAATATCCTCGATGAACCATAGAAACCAAGTGTGACATTCTTCACCATATGAGCTATAGTACTGCTGAAAATGCCCCTATTTCTAGCTTTTCAAAGAACAAGCCTTTATTTCTGATTGAGATCCATTCAGTTGCATGTCAGCCATGTAATTTAAAAGAATTACTAATTAAACAAAAAAAGAGACCATAATGGCAATTATAATCACACAAGTTGCTGTTTGCTGGAGCCTTACCTAGGGAAAAGAAAGGGGAAAGTTTCAGGAACTGACTTTTGAGTATTTTGACTGAAGTATGGAACGAGATATCCCTTGTGAGTAGTGAGCAAAGGCAGAGCTGTTTTTGTATTTGCTCTGTAACATCAACACTTCATGTTTCAAGGAAGTTTTATGCTAATGCAGAGGACAGGCTGCCATTGAACAGAACAAGCTAAGGAGAGTGTAACTTCACATGGGGCAAATTAGGCATCTACCTCAGAGTATTAACTGAGGAAATTAATCTGAAATTCTGTATAATACACTTAAACAGAGTGTTCTTGAACCTAAAGACAAAACTGTGGGCAAAGCATCTGAGTAACCTCTACATCTGTGGGTGCTACTTCTGTGTATCGCACAGTGGTGCAGCCATCAAGTTTTGTGCGGTAAAATGAATTGTTAAGTATGAACCCAGACTCACTCCCTTTCTCTTTCCCCCCAAAATAATGACATGAAGGCTTAAACCATCTTTGTATGCATGTTATGTCTTTATTTTAAATTAGCTTGGAGTTGGGACTGTTGTCAATGCTGCATCAAGTCACCTGTGTTTTGTCTAACAATTAGAAATCCTGCCACCTCTTTGGGGGCCTGTGCTAATGCTTTGCTACTCCCTCTGTGAAAACTTCTTGCAAAGTCCAGCCTGAACTTTCCAAGCTGTACTCTCTTGACCTTTGTTCTGTTGCTTGGTGCTGCCAAGAAGTGGTTGAATCTGTCACATTGTAAATCCTGTTGCTGCACATCAGTTTACTAACCACCTTTCTGGTGGGAGGAACAAGCCCAGCTTCGGCCTCTTATAAATCTAATTCTCTGGCCCTTGTGCTGTACCCTCTCCAGTGCTGGCCACACTTTTAATGGAGCCAAATATGCAGGTGTCTCTCTCTGTGTTGAGAGTATGTTGTTGCCTCAGTTTTAGCCTGAAGTTCATGAAACTCCCAGGTCCTTTTTAGGTTACTCATCAGCATTGCAGTAAGTACCTGTGGCACCTGTGTTCCAGCTCTCATTGCTTTTCTGTACATACTAATGAGGTCTCCTTTACCACTCAGAAGTTTCTCTGTTATGTGAATTATTATTTTCTTTCCTAATAGAAAAGTTGCCAAACAGTTTTCTGGCTTCTGTGATTGATCAAACTCTGCGGCTGGCTAAGACTGGGGTAAAGAAAGGCATTTGTATATCCTGTTATGGTAAACTTCATCAATGGATGCAGCTAGTAGGCAGTGAAATGTGTCAACATCTCTCCTATTGATTATCTCCTTCAGAGCAAGGCTAACAGGTCCTGTTATACTGTGTACTGGCCACGTAAATTAAAACTTTAGTTAAATGGGTGTATTGTGAGGTGCACTGCACTGGGCCATGAAAGAATTGCTGTTCAAAACCAGCTCTTCTAAATACCCGCAATTCCTTGCCACCTTTTTCCCCCACTTAAAATTCCCAATGGTGACTAAGATTAACTTAGGCAATTTTTCCCTGGATAGTTTAGAAGCCCAAGGTTATGGGCTAGAACAAGTTGTGTCATGCTATCAATCAGATGTAAAGGAACAGCTTGAGGGAGCACAGAGAAGTCCTTCTTCCCTCAGTGAGAATCCTAAAACTCTGAAGGTAGACTTGGCACAAAACCAGAAACCCCCACA